CTGAGCAGTGGCCACAGGACTGGTAAAGGTCAGTTTTCATTCCAATCCCAAAGGAAGGCAATGCCAAAGAATGTTCCAACTACTCCATAATTGCATATACAATCAAAGTAATGTTCAAAATTCTCCAAGCTAGGCTTCAGCAGTATGAGAACTGAGAACTTCCAGATGTACAAGCCAGATTTAGAAAAGGCAGAGGAACCAGAGATCAAATTGCCAACATCCGTTAAATCATAGAAAAAGCAAGAGAATCCAGAAAAACATTTATTTTTACTTCATTGACTACACTCAAGGCTTTTGCTTTGTGGGTCACAATGAACTCTGGAAAATTCTTCAAGAGATGGGAATACCAGACCACCTTGCCTGCCTCCTGTATGCAGGTCAAGAAGCAATAGTTAGAACCAGACATGGAACAATGGACTGGTTCCAAATTGGGGAAGGAGTACATCAAGGCTGTATATTGTCACCCTGCTAATTTAACTCATATGCATAGTACATCATGCAAAGTGTTAGGCTGAATGAAGCACAAGCTGTAACCAAGATTGCAGGGAGAAGTATCAATAACCTCAGATATGCAGATCACACCATCCTTATGGCAGAAAGCAAAGAGAAACTAAAGAGCCTCTTGAAAGTGAAAGATGAGAGTGTAAAAACTGGCATAAAACTTTAAAAAAAAATGAAGATTATGGCATTCAGTTCCATTATTTCATGGCAAATAGATGGGAAAACAATGGAAACAGTGACAGACTTCATTTTCTTGGGCTCCAAAATCACTGCATATGGTGACTGCAGCCATGAAATTAAAAGATGCCTGCTTCTTGGAGGAAAAGCTATGACCAATCTAGACAGCAGATTAAAAAGCAGAGACAGTACTTTACTGACAAAGATCCATCTAGTCAACTATGGTTTTTCCAGCAGTCATGTACGGATGTGAGAGTTGAACCATAAAGGAAGCCAAGTGATAAGTATTGATGCTTTTGAACTATTGTGTTAGAGAAGACGCTTGAGATTTTCTTGGACAGCAAGGAGATCAAACCAGTCAATCCTAAAGAAAATCAGTCCTGAATATTCACTGGGAGGACTGATGCTGAAGTTGAAGCTCCAACACTTTGGCCACCTGATGTAAAGAACTGATTCATTGGAAAAGACCCTGATGCTGGAGAAAACTGAAGGCAGGAAGAGAAAGAGACAACAGAGGACGAGATGGTTGGATGACATTACTGACTTGATGGACATGAGTTTAACCAAGCTCTGGGAGTTGGTGATGAGCTGGGAAATCTGGTGTGCTGCAGTCCATGGGGTCACTAAGAATTGGACATGAGTGAGTGACTAAACTGAACTGTGCATTTTTTCAGCACCATTTATTGAAGAGACTGTGCTTTCTCCATTGTGTATTTTTGCCTCCTTTGTCTTAAATTAGTTGACCCTAAGTGTATGGGTTTATTTCTGGGCTCTCTATACTGTTCCATTGATCTATGTGTCTGTTTTTGTGCCAGTATCATACTCTCTTCCCTTGGGTTTCCCTTGTGGCTCAGCTGGTAAAGAATCTGCCTGCAATGCGGGAGACCTGGGTTTGATCCCTGGGTTGGGAAGATCCCCTGGAGAAGAGAAAGGCCACCCACTCTAGTATTCTAGCCTGAAGAATTCCATGGACTGTATAGTCAATGGGGCCACAAAGAGTTGGACATGGCTGAGTGACTTTCACTTCACTTTCATACTATCATTTTTATTACTGTAGCTTTGTACTATGGTCGAAGTCAAGGAGTGTGATTCCTCCAGCTTTGTTGTTCTTCTTCAGGTTTTTTTGGACTATTTGACTGTTTGTGTCATTTGTTTTTCCATACAAATTTTATACTTTTTTTGTTCCAGTTCTGTGAAAAATGCCATTGGTAGTTGACAGGCGTTGCATTGAATCTGTAGATTGTCTTGAGTAGTACAGTCATTTTGACAATACTAATCTTTCCAATCCAAGAACATAGTATATCTTTCCATCTGTTTTGTCATCTTCAATTTCTTTCATCAGTGTCTTATAGTGTCAGGGGTACAGATATTTTACCTCCTTAGGTAGGTTTATTCCTAGGCATTTTAGTCTTTTTGATGCAGTGGTTAGGATTGTTTCCTTAATTTCCCTTTCTGATACTTTGTTAATAATGTATAGAAATGCAGCACATTTTTGTATATTAATTTTATATCCTGAGACTTCACCGAATTCATTGATGAACTCTAATCGTTTTCTGGTAGTGTCTTTAGGATTTCCTACGTATAGTATCATGTCTTCTACAAATAGTGACAGTTTGACTTTGTTTCCAATTTAGATTCTTTGTATTTAAAAGAATTGTCTTTTTACAAAGTCAGAAATTGCTGAAGTACAATCATAGAGGTAACAGGGATTTCCAGAAATATTGTTCAGTCGTGTCTAACTCTTTGCGACCCCATGGACTATACAGTCCATGGAATTCCCTAGGCCAGAATACTGGAGTGGGTAGCTGTTCCCTCCTCCAGGGGATCTTCCCAACCCAGGGGTTGAACCCAGGTCTCCCCACATTGCAGGCAGATTCTTTACCAGCTGAACCACCAGGGAAGCCCAAGAATACTGCTGTGGATAGCCTATCCCTTCTCTAGGACATCTTCCTGACCCAGGAATTGAAGTGGGGTCTCCTGCATTGCAGGTGGATTCTTTACCAGCTTAGCTACCAGGGAAGCCCCTCCAGAAACATGGGAGAGACAGTTTCCTCATGCACTTTCATGCATCTAGAATCCTGCTGAGGTGAAGAAATAAGATGTTTCTTTTTTCTAGGTTACAGGTAAGCTGACTCTTTAGGGCAAAAGCTGGTGTTGCAGAGCAGCTCTAAAAGGCCCATCTGAATGTTCCTGGTTTATGCTGAGGCCCTACTTGCTCATCCTGAGTCCTGGAAAGAAATTAGACTGAGTGTTAGAAATGGAATGGCTGCTAAGCTTATAGTCATAGTTTGTATTGTTGAATGATCTTGTGGGATGTATGATATATAGAGAATGACTTGTCTTTTAATTACCTTTCCACAACTGTGGTAAAATAACTTTTGGCTTTTGGTCATTGATTTTTTAAAAAATTGCAACAAAATATACACAACAAAATTTACAGTTTTAACTCTTTTTAAGTGCATCATTTAGTGACATCAGGTACATTCACATTGTTGTGGAGTTGTCACCATTATGCATCTCCAGAACTTTTTCATCTTCCCAAATCTATACCCATTAAGCACTAAGTTTCTACTACCGTCCCTTCACCATCATCACCATTCTACTTCTCTTTATGAATTTCACTACTCCAGGTGCCTCATATAAGTGAAAGCATATAATGTCCGGATTATGTCACCTAGCATAATGTTTTTAAGGTTTATCCATGTTGTATCAGGTGTCAGAATTTAATTCCTTTTTAAGACTGAATGATATTTCATGATAGGTATGTACAATATTTTGTGTATTCATTCATCTGTTAATAAACAATTGGGCTGTTTCCATCTTATATCTATTGTGAATAGTGCTGCTATGAACATATGTATACAAATAGCTGTTCAAGGTTGTGCTTTCAGTTCTTTTGAGTACATTCCCAGTAGTGGAACTGTTGTGCTATATACTAATCTTATGTTTAATTTTTTGAGAAACTGCCATATCCTCTTCCATCATGGCTACATAATTTTATATTTTCTACTTGATCACTGATTTTTCTCTTTAACTTGAGAACTAAATGAAAAGTTTTTGTGAATTCTGACATTTTGTTTGGATCCATGGCTCCAGTTAGTGGTCCACTGAAACATCTCACAGTGGTCACTTCAGATTCCTGATCTCTAGGGCATATATTGGAACTTTTTACCAAATAAAGGGATCATGTAAAACAGGCTGTTTTTGGTAAAGTCAGGCATTAAAGGCCATAGAGTCCTCACCAGAATATTATTTTGAACTTTATTCTCTGCTCATTTTATTGTATATTATTTAAAAACATTAAAGAATAATTTAATAAGTATTTATTTTTGTCTGTGCTGGGCCTTTGTTGCTTTGTATGGGTTTCTCTTTTTGTTTCTCTTGTTGAGGGGTACTCTCTAACTGTAATGTGCAGATGGTTTCTGTTATTGTGGAGATGGCTTCTCTTATTGCAGAACATAGGCTGTAGGGTGCTTGGGCCCAGGAATTGTGGTGCATAGGCTTAGTTGCCCTGCAGTATGTGGGATCTTCCCAGATGAGGGATCAAAACTGTGTCCCCTGCATTGGCAGACAGATGCTTAACCACTGAACCACCAGGGAGGACCTCTGCTCATATTGGAATGAGGAAACTAAGATCAAAGTTCTTAAATGATTTCACATGCAGTGTTAATGATTGATTCCAAGTTCCCTAATTTATAGTCTAAGTCCTCTAATTTCTTGCTTTAAGGCAGTTTCTCCACTCTCATCTAGTTAGGCTCAAATTTACTTTATTTTGCTCCTAAGTCTGAACCAACATCCTTACATTCTGGGTAGACCCAAGTTCATTGAGAAACAGGTGAGGGATTTTGTTTCTACCTCCTACTCCTCCCTTTGCTGTCCTTGTGGGCGGGGCTTCTGCCACATTGAGGAGATAAAGGATAAACATGGGTCCCTAGAGCCCTGCTGTCAGGGGTTATCCTGCTCATCCTGATACCATGCATGACCCCAAGAAAGTGTTATCCATTTTGCTATTTAAAAAAAATTTTTTTTCCATTTATTTTTATTAGTTGGAGGCTAATTACTTTACAATATTGTAGTGGTTTTTGCCATACATTGACATGAATCAGCCATGGATTTACATGTATTCCCTATTCAAATCCCCCCTCCCACCTCCCTCCCCACCCCATCCCTCTGGGTCTTCCCAGTGCACCAGCCCCTAGCACTTGTCTCATGAATCCAACCTGGGCTGGTGATCTGTTTCACCCTTGATAATATACATGTTTTGATGTAGGAATTTGTATCAACACAGGAATCCAATTCTCTGTGCCCCTCTCTTATTTCAGACCCTTCGCCTGAGTAACTCAGCCATAGGGAAGACCACCACAGGCCAGATAATCAACCTGCTGTCCAACGATGTGAACAGGTTTGACAGGGTAAGTGCCCAAGGGATCCTCTTTCATTTCTCACTGGGTTCAGCTTTTTGGGAGCCAAGTGCTAGGGTTTGGTGTCAGCCAGGGTTTGTTGAGAACCTAAGATAAGGGTTGTTGTTATCCAGCTCTCATCTCTTCTGTGTGCAAATTACATGCAAAAATATGTATTGTCCTGTGGATTTGAACTTTGTTTTTCTAATACTAGATAGGCAGTAGTGTTCTTTCCCAGCTTTGTTAGTGTCCCTAAAGGTCCTCCTGGTGTAGCCCTTCTTGGCACATGTTGTCAGTGTTGCTGAACTGTCTTCCTCCTCCTCAAGATGATGAAGGCCTGGTGGGCAGGGATTGTTATTTCCCCTGTGCCCTATTCAGTGCTGCTGCACAGGAAGCCTGTGAGGAATATGCCAAGTAGGTGGTTTCCAGCTGGACTCAACTTCCTGTCAGTTGTCAACCCCACCCTCTTTTTTTTTTCCCCCTCACACTTACCTTATCACTATGTGGTTCTTGTTTCCACTGTTTCTGCATCAATTTGCCATGAAGTGGTGGGACCAGATGCCAAGATCTTAGTTTTCTGAATGTTGAGTTTTAGGCCAACTTTTTCACTATCTTCTTTCACTTTCATCAAGAGGCTCTTTAGTTCTTCTTCACTTTCTCCTTAATTGTGGTATCATCTGCATATCTGGGATTATTGATATTTCGCCCGGCAATCTTGATTCAATCTTGTGTTTCATCCAGTCCAGCATTTCTCATGACGTACTCTGCATATATTTTTGGGCTCCAAAATCACTGCAGATGGTGACTGCAGTCATGAAACTAAAAGATGCTTGCTTCTTGAAAGAAAACTTATGACCAAACTAGACAGGATATTAAAAAGGAGAGGCATTACTTTGCCGACAAAGGTCCATCTAGTCAAGGCTATGATTTTTCCAGTAGTCATGTATGGATGTGAGAGTTGGACAATAAAGAAAGCTGAGTGCCAAAGAATTGATGCTTTTGAACTGTGGTGATTGAGAAGACACTTGATAGTCCCTTGGACCACAAGGAGATCCAACTAGTCCATCCTAAAGGAAATCAGCCCTGGGTGTTCATTGGAAGGACTGATGCTGAAATTCTAATACTTTGGCCGCCTGATGGGAAGAACTGACTCATTTGTAAAGACTGTGATGCTGGGAAAGATTGAAGGTGGGAGAAGAAGGGGACAACAGAGGATAAGATGGTTGGATGGCATCACCGACTCAATGGACATGAGTGTGAGAAACTCCAGAAATTGATGATGGACAGGGAGGCCTGGTGTGCTGCAGCGCATGGGGTTGCAAAGAGTTGGGCATGACTGAGAGACTGAACTGAACTGAATGCAGTACTAGGATGCAATCTCAAAAATGACAGAAAGATTTCCATTCACTTCCAATTCAAACCATTCAATATCACAGTAATCCAAATCTATGCCCTGACAAGTAATGCTGAAGAAGTTGAAGCTGAACAGTTCTATTAAGACCTACAAAACCTTCTAGAACTAACACCCAAAAAAGATGTCCTCTTCATTATAGGGGACTGGAATGCAAAAATAGGAAGTCAAGAGCTACCTGGAGTAACAGGCAAAATTGGCCTTGGAGTACAAAATGAAGCAGAGCAAAGGCTAACAGAGTTTTGCCAAAGGAACACATTGGTCATAGCAAACACCCTCTTTCAAAAACACGAGAGAAAACTCTACACATGGACATCACCAGATGGTCAATACCGAAATCAGATTGATTATATTCTATGCAGCCAAAGATGGAGAAGCTTTATACAGTTAGCAAAAAAAGACTGGGAGCTGACTGTGGCTCAGATCATGATCTCCTTATTGCCAAATTCAGACTTAAATTGAAGAAAGTAGGGAAAACCACTAGACCATTCAGATATGACCTAAATCAAATCCCTTATGATTATATAGTGGAAGTGACAAATAGATTCAAAGGATTAGATCTGATAGACAGAGTGCCTGATGAACTATGGATGGAGGTTTGTGACATTGTACAGTGAAGACCATTTGCAGGAAAAATAAATGCAAAAAGGCAGAATGGTTGTTTGATGAGGCCTTACAAATAGCTGAGAAAAGAAGAGAAGCTAAAGGCAAAGGAGAAAAGGAAAGATATACCCATTTGAATGCAGAGTTCCAAAGAATAGCAAGGAGAGATAAGAAAGCCTTCCTCAGTGATCAATGCAAATAAATAGAGGGAAACAGTGTAGACTGGGAAAGACTATAGATCTCTCCAAGAAAATCAGAGATAACCAAGGGAACATTTCATGCAAAGATGGGTTAGATAAAGGACAGATATGGTATGGACCTAACAGAAGCAGAAGATATTAAGAAGAGATGATAGGAATACACAGAAGAACTGTACAAGAAAGATCTTCATGATCCAGATAATCACAATGGTGTGATCACTCACCTAGAGCCAGACATCCTGGAATGTGAAACCAAGTGGACCTTATGAAGAATCACTACAAACAAAGCTAGTGGAGGTGATGGAATTCCAGTTGAGCTATTTCAAATCCTGAAAGATGATGCTGTGACAGTGCTGCACTCAATATCCCAGCAAATCTGGAAAACTGAGCAGTGGCCACAGGACTGAAAAAAGTCAGTTTTCATTCCAACCCCAAAGAAAGTCAATGCCAGAAAATGTTCCAGCTACCACACAATTGCATTCATCTCACACGTTAGCAAAGTAATGCTCAAAATTCTCCAAACCAAGCTTCAACAGTCTGTGAACCATGAATTTCCAGATATTTAAGCTGAATTTAGAAAAGGCAGAGGAACCAGAGATCAAATTGCCAATATCCGTTGGATCATAGAAAAAGCAAGAGAGTTCCAGGAAAACATCTACTTTTGCTTTATTAACTGCGCCAAAGCCTTTGACTGTGTGGATAACAAAAAACTGTGGAAAATTCTTAAAGAGATAGGAATACCAGACCACCTTACCTGCCTCCTGAGAAATCTGTATGCAGGTCAAAAAGCAACAGTTCGAACTGGACATGGAACAACAGATTGGTTCCAATTGGAAAAGGAGTACGTCAAAGCCGTGTATTGTCACCCTGCTTCTTTTACTTATGTGTATAGTCAAAGCTATTGTTTTTCCAGCAGTCATGTATGGATGTGAGAGTTGGACTATCAAGAAAGCTGAGCCCTGAAGAATTGATGCTTTTGAACTGTGGTATTGGAAAAGACTCTTGAGAGTTCCTTGGACTACAAAGAAATCCAACCAGTCAATACTGGAGGAAATCAGTCCTGAATATTCATTGGAAGGACTGATGCTGAAGCTGAAACTCCAATTCTTTGGCCACCTGATGGGAAGAACTGACTCATTTGGAAAGACTGTGATGCTGGGAAAGATTGAAGGCGGGAGGAGAAGGGGATGTCAGAGGATGAGATGGTTGGATGGCATCACGGACTCAATGAACAGGAATATGAGCAAGCTCTCGGATTTGCTGATGGACATGGAAGCCTGGTGTGCTTCAGTCCTTGGGGTTGCAAAGAGTCAGACATGAATGAGTGACTGAGTTGAATGAAGATAATGGAGACCTCCTTCAAAACGTCCCGTGTATGCACTGCCACAGTCAGTGTCCCCAACCTTGCAGCAGGCCAGAGACAACCCAAGCCTCTGCCAGAGGCTCCTGGACACTCACGGGGAAGTCTGGGTCAGTCTCTTGTGGGGTCACTGCTCTTTTCTCCTTGGTCCTTGTACACGCACAAGGTTTTTTTTTCCTGCCCTCCAAGAGTCTATTTCCTCAGTCCTGTGTAACTTTTAGCGGCCCTATGGCGGGGTTAATGGCAACCTCCTCCAAGATGGCTTATGCCATACCCAGGTCTGGTGCACCCAGAGCCCCTGCGCCTGTGGCAGGCCACTGCTGACCCGTAACTCTGCAGGAGACACTCAAACACTCAAAGGCAGATACTGGCTTAGTCTCTGTGCCAGTCTCCTGGTGTGCACAAGATTTTGATGGCCACAGGACTGGAAAAGGTCAGTTTTCATTCCAATCCCAAGGAAACTCAATGCCAAAGAATGTTCAAACTACCACACAGTTACACTCATCTCACACACTAGTAAAGTAATGCTCAAAATTCTCGAAGCCATGCATCAACAGTATGTGAATGGTGAACTTCCAGAAGTTCAAAAAGGTTTAGAAAAGGCAGAGGAACCAAATTGCCAACATCCATTGGATCATAGAAATAGCAAGAGAGTTCTAGAAAAACATCTACTTCTGCCTTATTGACTATTCCAAAGACTTTGACTGTGTGAATCACAACAAACTGTGGAAAATTCAAGAGACGGGAACATCAGACTGCCTGACCTGCCTCCTGAGAAATTTATATGCAAGTCAAAAATCAAGTTAGAACTGGACATGGAATAAGAGACTGGTTCCAAATTGGGAAGGGAGTGCGTCAAGGCTGTATGTTGTCACTCTGTTTATTTGACTTATATTCAGAGTACTTCAAGCGAAATGCTGGGTTGGATGAAGCACAAGCTGGAATCAATCTCCTGTTGCCAAGAGAAACATCAGTAACCTCAGATATGCAGATGACAGCACCCTTAAGGTAGAAAGTGAAGAAGAACTAAAGAGCCTCTTGATGAAAGTGAAAGGGGAGAGTGAAAAAGTTGTTTAAAACTCAATATTCATAAAACAAAAATCATGACACCTGCTCCCATCGCTTCATGGCAAATAGACAGGGTAACAATGGAAAGTGTTAAAGTGGCAGGCTTTATTTTCTTGGGCTCCCAAATCACTGCAGAGGGTGACTGCAGCCATGAAATTAAAAGACACTTGCTCCTTGGAAGAAAAGCTATGACCACCCCAGACAGGATATTAAAAAGCAGAGACATCAAAGCACCTTTTCTGACAAAGGTCCTTGTAGTCAAAGTTATGTTTTTTCCAGTAGTCATGTATGGATGTGAGAGTTGGACTATCAAGAAAGCTGAGTGCAAAGAATTAACACTTTCAAACTGTAGTGCTGGAGAAAACTCCTTAGAATCCCTTGAATAGCAAGGAGATCATGCCAGTCAATCCTAAAGGAAATCAGTCCTGAATGTTCATTGGAAGGACTGATGCCAAAGCTGACACTCCAATATTTTGGCCACCTGATGGTAAGAACTGACTCATTGGAAAAGACACTTGATGCTGGGAAAGATTGAAGGTGGGAGGAGAAGGGGACAACAGAGGATGAGATGGTTGGATGGCATTACCGACTCAATAGATACGAATTTGAGTAAACTCTGGGAGTTGGTGATGGACAGGGAGGCCTGGCGTGCTATAGTCCATGGGGTCACAAAGAGTGAGACACCACTGAATGAAGGAACTGGGCAGAGATCTCTTCAAGAAAATTAGAAATACCAAGGGAACATTTCACGGAAAGATGGGCGCAATAATCGACAGAAATGGTATGGAGCTAACAGAAGCAGAACATATTAAGAAGTGGTGGCAAGAATACACAGAAGAATTGTACAAAAAATGTTTTAATGACACAGACATGATAGCATGATCACTTACCTCGAGCCAAACATACTGGAGTATGAAGTCAAGTGGGCCTTAGGAAGCATCACTACTAACAAAATTAGTGGGCATGATGGAATTCCAGTTGAGCTATTTTAAATCCTAAAAAATGATGTTGTTAAAGTATACACAAAATGCCAGCAAATTTGGAAAACTAAGCAGCGACCACAGGGCTGGAAAAGGTCAGTTTTCATTCCAATCCCAAAGAAAGGCAATGTCAAAGAATGTTCCAAGTACCACACAATTGCACTCATTTCACATACTAGCCCAATCTAGGCTCCAACAATACAGGAACAGAGAAATTTCAGGTGTATAAGCTGGATTTAGAAAAGGCAGAGGAATTATAGATCAAATTGCCATCATTCCTTGGGTCATAGAAAAAGGAAGGGAATTCCAGAAGAACATCTACTTCTGCTTCATTAACTACGCTAATGCCTTTCACTGTGTGGATCACATAAAATGTGGGAAATTCTTTAAGAGATGGGAATACTAGACTACCTACTTGCCTCCCAAGAAACCTGTATGCAGGTCAAGAAGGAAGAGTTAGAACTGTGCATAGGATAACGGACTGGTTCCAAATGAGGAAAGGAATATGTCAAGGCTGTATGTTGTCACCCTGCTTATTCAGCTTTCATAGAGAGTACATCATGTGGAGTCCTGGGCTGGGTGAAGCTCAAGCTGGAATCGAGATTGCTGGGAGAAACATCAATAACCTCAGATGTGCAAATGACACCACCCTAATGGCTGAAAGTGAAGAGGAACTAAAAAGCCTCTTGATGAAGGTGAAAGAGGAGAGTTAAAAAGCTGACTTAAAACTCAATATCCAACAAACTAAGATCATGGCATCCAGTCCCATCACTTCATGGCAAATAGATGGGGAAACAATGGAAACAGTGATTCACTTTGTTTTCTTGGGCTCCCAAATCACTGTAGATGGTAACTGTAGCCATGAAATTAAAAGACGCTTGTTCCTTGGGGAAAAAAATGTTATAACAAACCTAGATAGCCTATTAACAAGGAGAGACATCACTTTTCTGACAAAGGTCCATGTAATGAAAGCTATGGTTTTTTTTCACTAGTCTTATATGGATATGAGAGTTGGACCATATCATGAAGTCTGAGTGCCAAAGAATTAATACTTTCAAACTGTGGTGCTGGAGAAAACTCCTGAGAGTCCCTTTGATAGGAAGGAGATCAAACTAATCAATCCTAAAGGAAATCAACCCTGGACATTCAGTGGATTGACCGGTGGTGAAGCTGAAGCTTTAATCCTTTGGCCACATGATGTGAAGAGTTGACTCACTGGAAAAGACCTTGATGCTGGGAAAGATTGAGGGCAAGAGGAGAAGGGGACAAGAGAGGATGAGCTGGTTGGATGGTATCACTGTCTCAATGGACATGAGTTTGAGCAAGCTCCTGGAGATGGTGAAGGACAGGGAAGCCTGGTGTGCTGCAGTCCATGGGGTCACAAAGAGTCAGAAATGACTAAGTGATGAACAACAACAACTTCTCTTTCAGTTATTCATTCATCAGACATGAAGTCAGGTACCTCTTCAGTTTCAGGGATGAATAAGGTTTAGTTTCTGCCCTAGAGATGTCAAAGCCCATCAGGGAGGTAAATATACAAGTCATTATTGGAGGGAGTGGTAAGTACGTAATGTAGACCTTCCTGGGGTTGCAGGGAGCCCCAGGGAAAAAGGCATCTGAATTTTTGGACAGAGAGAGAGTTTAGGAATGCCCTGAGGTAATTTTCATTGTTGACAAAATCAGCATTTTCCTTCCAGTGTGCCTGTCTGCTTCTCCCTGGACATCCCTGAACCCAGCCTTGTGCTACCCCAGAACAGCATCATCTGGGGAGGATGCTACTATTTCTGCTTCAGCAGGTTTAAAACCCATTGAGATCATTTCCATTTATGTTCCTGTCTCTTCCTTCAGAGTAGATTGTTTCTAAACTGTGTGCTTATGGTTTTGCTTTTATACAGTTCTAAGAAGACTTTGTCTTTTTCTTTTAAGGTAACGATACGCTTGCACATCCTGTGGATTGGGCCACTTACGGCTATCACAGTGATCGTCCTGCTCTGGATGAAAATAGGAATATCATCTCTTGCTGGGATGGCACTCCTCATTATTTTTATGCTTTTGCAAATCTTCTCTGGGAAGTTGTTTTTATCACTCCGGTAAGAGAAACACTGGTTTAAAAAAATAGATGATATATACTTGGTGAATCCACAGTCCATGCTTCTGTTAAACAACAACAACAACAACTTTCTCTGATCTCTTTTTTTGCATGTGTTGTAGACCCTTCAGGCTTAGCTAGTGGAGGCTCCATCCTTAAACCAAAGACTGATCTTGAAGGGGGAAAGGTGAAGCCATTTCCTGGCTCTTCCTGGAATTGTACTTGAATAAGTATAGTATCTGTAAGCAGAATTTACCTAAGTCCAAGTTATTTAAACATTATTAAATAGTAATCATCCTTTAGGCCCAATCAGGCTGCATATATTTTTGCTATGCTTGTCTTAGGATAATTTTCAGTTATTTAAGTTCATATCTTGTTTTTAATTCACTGTTTGCATTAAGTTATCAGAACTCCAAGGGCATAAAGACATAAATTTATAAAGCCCCACAGTACCAGCAGCTTATGTGATAAAAGAGTGTCTAGTGATGAAGGGTCTAATGGTGATGAGTTAGACTTGAAGCATATATCAGGGGATTGTAGGTGTGTTGTTCAGATTGTCAGGTGATGGAGATGTTGTGCTGTTTGAAGCACATTGAGCTCCTTTCTTTTCTTTTTTTGGTGACTTTATGCATGTTATTTTTCTCTACTTGGAATTTCATTTCTTATCTTTACCACAGAAAGATGTTCCTTATCCTTTGAGGCCCTATTTGAGTGCTACCAGATCTCTGAAGCTTTTCTTGCTCTCCTTTCCCAGTGGAATTCACAGCTCCATCTTTTCTGCTCTCCAGCACTTTAATCCTATTTTATTATAGCACATTGTCTTTCCATTAGATTCATGTGTCTTCTGCCTTCCCTACCTGACCACAACCTCCTTGGGCAGGTGGTTTGTACCTGACTTACTTCAGGTCTTCCTTAGCCAAAACTGCAAGTTCTCCAAGTTATTGTTGAATTGGGCTCAGTGGTTGACTTCCTAATTGAAGTCTTCCTCCATTTGTACTTTGAGTAGGACCTGCCTGTGTTGTCAGCTTAGGAGAGCTGTAGGAAATCATTTGATCCCTGGTCTCTGACTATGCCACTGCTGCTGTCAGTAAGGAAATTTTTGCTGTGATCACTAAGGCTCATCTCTCACATTTGTTCCCTTAGGAGTAAGACTGCAGCTTTCACAGACAGCAGGCTCAGGACCATGAATGAAGTTATAACTGGCATCAGAACAATAAAAATGTATGCTTGGGAAAAGTCATTTGCAGAGCTTATTACCAGATTGAGAAGGTAACTTTCTGTATATGTCAAACCACTGTTCATACTTTTTTATTTCCTGTTTTTAATGAATGGTTTAAAGGTATTACTGTTCTTTTATTTACCATCCTCCTAAAGGAAAAAAAATATATGCTTCTTTCTTATATAGAAATGAAATTTCACATATTAATACCCCAAATCCCAAGGAGCAATGATCCTAAGATGTTAGTATTTGAGTTGATGACATTTAAACTAATACTACAATATTTTAGTAAGTATGTTAATATAGAACAAATGGGAAGATTGTAGAGATTGGGTATATTTGTATTGGGCCAAACTTTATGAATCAGTAGTTTTTATTCCAAACAGAGCCATGAAAATACCTTTCCTTTTGAATTTGCTTTAGGTTTATAGAAATTTTTTCCGTCTTTCATTTAAATATCTGACGAGTGTTTATACTCAAGCACAAAGTATTCATAATTCTCTGGCTGCACCCTGTTACATCTCACCTTTGCACCTTTGTGAGGGCCCCTCCCTCTGCTGGGAATACACTGTCTCATCTTCATTCTTCTCTGGCTTCCACCAACCCTAACTGACTCCCACTCATCTTCTCAGGGTTCATGTATGTGTGAATTGCCCTGACTTTACTGCTCTGGGTTACACATCTCTGCTCTGTGCTCCCTTGGGGGCCATGCTGACTGCCTCTGTCTAATGTCTTGGTGGACATGTGGAATCTTAGTTCCCTGACTAGGGATCAAACCATGGGTGCTGTGTTAAAAGCACAGAGTCTTGGAGGAGCCAAGATGGTGGAGGAGTAGGACGGGGAGACCACTTTCTCCCCTACAAATTCATCAAAAGAACAATTGAACGCTGAGAAAACTTCACAAAACAACTTCTGATCACTAGCAGAGGACATCAGGCGCCCAGAAAAGCAGCCCATTGTCTTTGAAAGGAGGTAGGACAAAATATAAAAGATAAAAAGAGAGACAAAAGAGACAGACGAGACCTGTCCTGGGAAGGGAGTCTTAATAGAGGAAGTTTCCAAACACCAGGGAACCCTCACACTGGCGGGTCTGGGGGAAGGTTTTGAATCTCGGAGGGTAACATAACTGGGAGGAAAAATAAATGAAATCCACAGATTACGTGCCTAAAAGCAACTCCCAGCAGAAAAGTACCCCAGATGCCCGCCTCCGCCACCAGCAAGTGGGGGCTGAACGGAGAGGAGCGGGCGGCATTGCTTAGGGTAAGGACTGGCCTGAATGCTCTGAGAGCAAGTGGAGGGAACTTTCATGAGCTAGCAACTTAAACTGTGGGATAGCAAGAGAGAGAGAAAATTAACTGGCCCGAACACACTGCCGGCAGTTTGCAGAACAAAGGAACTGAGCAACTCCAGAGAAGAGCTAGTGGGAGCTGACTGGCCCATCCCCGCCGGAGGCAGGAGGCAGGGGGGAGGGGAAAGGGGCAAACTCGGCCCCAGAGATGGCATCCCCTACCATACTGCAAACAGGCCTCCAGTTTCTAACCAGACTTCCTGAGATTCTGGATGGTCAACATCCGCCGGGAGGTTCGTGGCTAAATACAAGGCGCACGCACGCAACTGGCGTGCACGGAAACTGAGGCTGGAACCGCGGAGGGGAGAAGGCGCACTGCACCTGGGGAGAGTGTATCTGTCAAGCTCCTGGCTGCCTGCGCTGCTCGGGCCAGGGAAGGCACAAAACAGCAGGCGCAACTGAGTCCGCGCTTTTGTGGAATACCCGAAAACTGGAACCACGCGCAACGCAGGGCCCACTCCATATAGAGCAGCGGGGAGCCTGAGCAGTGTAAACGAGGAAAGCACACACTCGTGAGTGGGGGGCAAACCCAGTGTGGCCAGAACACTGCAAGTGCTCCCCACACACAGCGATAGCTGTCTGCAGCACCCCTCCCTCTCCGCAGCAGGACTGAACTAGCGAACCTGAACAAGAGACCACCTCCACCCGCCTGTGTCAGGGCAGAAATTAGACACTGAAGAGACCGGCAAACAGAAGCCAAATAAACAAAGGGAACCGCTTCAGAAGGGACCGGTGTAACAAATTAAAATTCCTGTAGATAACACCGACTACACCGGAAGGGGCCTATAGATATCGAGAAGTGTAAGCTGGAATGAGGGGCTATGTGAAACCGAACCGAACCCACACTGACCGCAACAGCTCCAGAGAAATTCCTAGATATATTTTTACCTTTTTTTTAATTAAAAAAATTTTTTTTTCTTTTCTTTTTTCTTTTTTCTCTTTTATTTTCTTTTAAAATTCCCTATTACTCCCGCATTACTCCTTAACTTTCATTTTCATATATTTTTACTATTTTTTTAATTAGGAAAAAATTTTTTTCTTTTTTTTTCTCTTATTTTCTTTTAAAGTCCTCTATTACTTCTCTATTACTCCTTAATTTTCATTTTCATTTCACTATAACCTTGCAAAAAAAAAAAAAAAATTAAAGCTATTTTTAAA